ACCCTAGTGGGACCTAAATTGCTTACAATCATCATAATAATCAACGTTATTGATGTTATTATAAACATTCCCCTTTCTAAGGTAATATGTTTTCTTTTAGGCATGAAGTAGGCATTGAATTATTCTAAAACTTAGTCATATACATTTATGTTTTCTTGTTGTGAGAAAGAAAATGTCTGCAATATATTTTGGCTATGCTTCCTATGCAATATATTAATGTACTGACTTGAGTTTTGTTATATTCTTCCCAGTTTCAATGCCTCTCAAAAGCATTGAAATCTCTGCAACCCTTTCAACCAATTTCCAAGATTTGTAAAATCAAAATGGTTCTGATATAGTTAATTTGAACATTTTTACTTTTTTTTTTTTTTTTGAATAAATTTTTTTTTCCAAACTGGTTCCTATTCTACTAGAAAATAATTTTCTTCTTTTAGAAAAATCCCTCTCTGATACCATGTTCCACTGGGCTTAGGGTGGAAATATAAATTATATGAGACTGTCCACTGAAACGTTGAATCAACACAAAGACGTAAACTTAACTGTTCTATTCAAACTGCCGCTTTCAGCATTCCCTAGTGAGACCAAAAGTACTTACAATTATCATAATAATCAACATTATTGATGTTGTTATAAACATGTATGCTACTCTATGTCTACACTTGTCTGGAAACAGCATTAAGTGCTTAAAGCATAAAGCAACATTTCATGGTGTCTTAAAAATGTATATATACATCAGCATCAAGTAATGTAAATTTTGTAAAGACATAAGTATATCTATAACAGTAGAAGTGTTAATAACCTGATCATTTAAATTATTATTCCAATTAACAATATAACACAAATTTTAAAGATATAGAAATACACGGTGTCCATAAAGTTCGTGTGCACTTTTACAAAATTTATAACTTTATTTGTATTTGCGATAGAAAAAAATGTCTGCAATATAAAAAAAAATATTATCAGCTATATATTTTTGAGGAAAAAAATATTACCAGCAATACTTTTTTGAAAAAAAAAAATTATTACCAGCAATAAAAATTTTGTTGGCATTAAATAACCCATTGAGGTTGATATGCTGTAAAACAAAATGAAACAAAACAATCATCAGGCGTCAAATAAGTAATTTTTGTTTTATATTGTTTTGTTTTACAGATTTCGTCAACATAAGCCCCTTAAATGAAAAATGTCACAATACAATATATATTTCAATATACATTTAGTTGTGTAGATGGCATACACAGTTCAATAAGTGTTGTGGTTACAAACAGTAATTAAATTATCTGTGTAAGTTGCAAATCTTATAATTTACTGACATGTTTCACAGGTCAGTGTCGCAGTTAAAATCATCAAACTTTCTTTAACTGACCAGGTTCAAATCCTAAAAAAAAACAGATAATTTTTGAACACTGATCTGTTTTCAGCACCAAAAGCAACAAAAATCATATGCAATCCTTATTTATTTTTCTAATCTTGAACCATCATCTTAAAATGAAAGAAGCAAAATGAAGGAAGAATAATGCCAACAAGTCTTCTGAACAGTGTCGGTAAAACTGTCAGATCCTTTAGTTGCTTTTATAGACTAAGAGAAATCAGAAACAGAACTGAGATATAATAATGATATATTACAGTCATCGTGACTTTGCAGCTGCTTAAAATATTTCAGGCCTTTGTTAACAGCAGTGATCAGGAGTTCATTCCTGAACTGACCTCATGAAATCTTACTGATAATTAGAGTCAGAATAAAAATAAACAAATACTTTTGTTCTATAGAGAATCAAAATTATAAAACACCATAAAACAATAATAAACCAAATCTTGAACTAAATCCTTGTTGATGAGAAGTTATAGAGTTGAAAATTAATAAATGCTGTTCCACAACTTTGATGTGTCAGTATTTGAAATAATTCACTAAGAGATCAAAGAAAGATGCAGTCAGAATGATTTAATGTCACTGATTGAAATAAAAATTCAAATTTATGGTCAGTTTTTTTTTTTTTTTAAAACCACATCCATTCAGAACATAGACATTTATGTTCTCCACAATTATCTTTTATCTTCAATATTTATAGACTGTTCTTGGAAAAGATAATACAATTGTTACCCATTGCTTACTCCACAATTTTGAATTCATAGTTGTTTTGCTTGACTGGTTGCTTGACAAGGCTAGAAAGCCTAGTTTGTTTCCCACCCCCTATCTTTTTTTTTTTTTTTGTTTAGAGCGAGCTAGGAGGAGATATAAATCCTTTTTTCCTATGGGCATTAAGAGGAAAGGAATGTAACTGCCTTGACTGGAATTTGAACTCAGCCAGCTGACTCCATTTTCTCTGCCAATAAACATTACCCAATCTGCACATACATTACAATCTTGAGAGTAATTTTATTTTAAATGAATTTTTTTAAATCTGACATTATTTCTAATTACTATAAAAATTATTTTTGGTTGGTATACATGTTTGAATTGATATCCTTTTTTTTTTTTTTTTTTTTTTTTTTCAGTGAAATTAATACCAACTGGCCTTGATTAAGAAACCCAAAATGTGCTTCCCAATAGAAATCAAACCATTTTCCATCAGGGAAACCACACCTATAGCTAAAGCACACCATTACCAATTTGGCCAAATGGCATCATCTTGATAAAGCAAAGCTTTATCTTATGATTGTTTACGTTTTTTGAGGCTTTATATTTCAAGAACAATTTTTAAACTCAGATTTATTTTTGTTACTGCATTTTATGTCTGTAATTCACATTTTTTAATTCTTTTATCAAATATATTTATTTTTAATTTCCTAAGAAAATTATACCAACATAATTTTTTTAATTCTGTTTCTAAATGTCTAACAATTTTGTAAATTGTTCTTTCTTTATGTCCAGAGTTTTACTGAACACTGTACAGGTTAACTTTATTAATAAGCAACAAACATTAATGATATTCTATTGATAATGTCAATATTAGCCGTTTCCTTATAAGGCAATTTTCAGAATTCATTGACCGAGCTGCTAGTGCTACTTTCAATTGAAATTTATAAAATCTTTCACTTAAAACTATTTTTCAGAAAAATAGATTTTCCAAGTCTGGTGGATTATCACTTTTTCAAGTATTGATGAGGGTTTCCTTCCTAAACTTTTGTTTGAAGTAGTGTGGAATGACAATATCTTGATTATTTCATTATTTTCTCTTCAGACTACATATACTAGACATTTTATTTTTTGCTCTTATTGAAAGTCCTCAAGTAATGTGGTTTCTGTTACTTGGTAAAGTCTTTTCTGTGTGCTTCTTTAGCACCAGTTCACTAGGTTTGAGGAAGGATGGTCCTTGCTAAAATCTACAGGTTTCGTTTGCTTGAAGTTATTTTTAGCCATTAAAATAAACTTTCCCCACTTCTGTCCTTCTATTTAACCCATAGCTGAGGGAGAAGAGATGGAGTCATGCCTTTCTCAAGGTTATTTGTGCATAAGTGAATGTAACAGATTCAGCCGGAATTTGAACTTGGCTTGCCAATTTTTCATTGCTGGTAATGTAATGGATATCGACACAAAAAGTGGAACTGGTTATCCAAGTTCAGATTCCAGTTTAGTGTGTTGCAAACACTTTCTTTTTTATTTTTTAATCGAGTTCACTCCAAGCAAGGCAGTAAAACCACTAAGATGCAAGGATTACTGGGTGTGGAAGAAACAGAAACATCATTAAGGAGTGAGAAGAAATGAAGAGTAAATCAGGAGGACAGCAGAGAGCAATTGACATTGCATTACAGATAGCTTTGTGAAAGGCATGAGTCCATCCCTTCTCCCTCTAGTTATGGGTTAAATAGTAAAATAGACTGCTCTCCAGCTTTAGCCAGCAACCAATCTAAGAAGGAAAACTGTTGCCAACTGTAGAGAAGGCAACAAGAAACCACTCAATCTTTTCTTATAATTCATGATAATTAACAGATAATAGAGAAAGGGAAACAATGGAGAGCCATGACACATCTACATTTTGAAGGGATATGGAATTTAACAAAAAAGATACTGTCAATAGTTATGGATTTTGTCAATTCAAAAAAATAAATTTAAAAAAAATTGAATCTTTTTGATTTTAAAACCAGCTAATGTCCTATCAAATTAAAATTTTCTTCTGTGTTATATTATCCAAAGTTAGGAGGTGAATTATCATTTTGTGAATTATTCAAACTAGTATCCTTGTTTCTGTTGTTTCAGTCAATGTTTCAACTGATCATTTTGCACGCTTTTTTGTCATTTGACATTCTAAAATGAAGTACTCTCATGATTCCATGAATTATTCAAACTAATATTCTGAATAATAATAATAATAATAATAATAATAATAATATACACATAGGTACCAAGACAAGGCAGGGTAAATCAAAGAAATGTAGCAAGCAAAGTTGTCTCTGTTATACTTGACACTCTTAGAACTATATTTAAGAATCTCTTAGACTTGCCAGACACCTTGGAGATACCTGATATCATTGGGAGTGCACAGGAACAATTTATATGCTAAGGAAAGTGTTTCTAAGCTGCAGGTAGGAGTTGTGATATGGCTATCATTACCCAGCTAAAAGATCTAAGAGTCAGAGAGGGTGTCAAAAATATTATTTTCAATGAATTTTTATTGCTTAAATCAATATGGAAGTGAAAATTTCCCTAATGTCTGAGAGAATTTGACAATTTCAAGATGATCCATTATGCAAATCAACTTATTATATTATATCATGTAGGTGGACAGTATCACAGTCAAATGTGGTTATGTGATATTCCGTCATTGGCAGGTAGCAAATTTTCACCAACTCATGTTTATATCAATGTTTATAAGTTTAGTCTGTTATCTTAGTAATGACCCCTCTACTTCCAACCAATAAAGCAGGCTATAAGCAAGTTTTAACATTTTCTTTTCACCTCCTCACCCAACTCTAGGTACGTCTTTCAACATGTCAGTCCAGAAATAACTTCACATATCAAGATCGTATCCATCACTGACTTATTATGCCTGTTGTGTCACTTACAGCACCTGATATTCCCCAACAGTCACCACATCTGAGTACTTACCAGGGTCAACCTTACTTAACTTTAGTGATCAGATGAGAACCGGTGTTTCAACATGATATGGTCATAAGCAGTTTTAACAGCACATAAAAAAATAAGACAATGATAAATTACTGAACCTGAGTGTTTTTGTTATGTGCTTGTTTTTTTAAGGTGGACAAAAATGTTTCCGCCTGAAAGCAAACAACATACCTAGAGTTTAAATATGATTCATTAAAACAGTTTCTTATGAAAGATATCAGTGTTGACTGCTGTAAACTAGAATGAAATTTTTATCTAATTACAAGAGAAAAGTAGAAAGAAAAGGAAATTCAAAGACATTGAAATATAATGTGCACATACCTCCTGAGCGCCTCCAGTTGGTGTACATGTTGTCATGACCTGGAAAAACAAAGAAAAATTGTCATTGCATAAGCTGACATCTTCAAAAGTGTGTAATAAAATGTAGACAATGATAATGTCATGTCATAGAAATAAACAAGGACATTCATAAACAAGAAGAAATGCAAAAGAGTAGCTGAAACATTTTATCAAAGTCCTGACAAGACAAGATCTTTAACACAATTTGACCTGATTTGAACAACGACTAAAATCTTTAGCCAGAGTGAACCATGATTTGACCAAAATTCTAAATTTTGCTATAGAATGATGTATAATAGTAATGGTGAAAATAGTCATTTCCATACAGAAAATATCTAGCATTCAAATGTTACTGTCAATTTATTTATAATAAAATTCTTTTTCTATAAGAGAAAGTGTCATATAGAAATAAAGTGTCACTGCTGATATTTGTGTTTGAACACAGATTGCCAGAGAGCAAGCACAGTCAACCTCATCTTGAAATAATTAGATCACGTGATGGGTAAAGTAAGTATATATATATATATATATATATATATATATATATATATATGGGAATTAGCAGCATCTGACTGAGTATTGTTTGAAGGCGTTGCTATTGTTATACCTGTGATTTACAAACTCTCTCCTACAAACGGACATTACAAAAATAAATCTCTTTAAAATTTATAAAATTATAAAAATATCATTTTATAAAATTTTTTTCTTAAAACATTTCTTCAGGAAATTAAACTTTTCTAGCTCACTGTTATCATTCTTTCTAGTATTGATAGCAGTTTCCTTCCAAACTTTTTGTTTTTGGTAGTGTGGAAAGTGAATAACTTAATTATATCATTGTTTTCTTTTCTAGTTACATGTGCTGCTGATTTTTGTTGCTAATGGTGTTGGAAGAATTCAAGTGATGTGGATTTTGTCATTTGGTAATTCTCTGTAATTTTGTAGTTCCAGTTTATAGAGTTTGCTGAAGTATTGTCTTCTTTAAAAGATCCATTCACTTGAAACTGTTTTTAATTATTGTACTCTGTCATAAAGATTAGCAAATTTCCAGATTTACTGAAAGCCAGGATTTAAGTTGTGAATTTTGCAAAGCCAGTATATTTGCTGAATCTTGAATTGTGTTTCACTTTTGATCAATTCTTAGTTTTGGTAAAGTGGCAATTCGTAATTAGATGCTGGTTTGACACTAAAAAAAAAAAACAAGGATCATAATTGGTCTATAGAAAAATTTAACAACAAATTGATAAATCACTACAGACTGATTAGACAAATTTAAATGTCAAGAAGTATCTCAGTTTGGAAATCTTAATATTGTCCCTTACTTTTATCATCATTTACTCTTTGTAAATGATGGGTTTTTCAATCATTGCAGTTCTCCGACTCAATTGTCAATTATGCCAATTGCAGCTCTCTGACAACTTTTATGGTGGAAATTTCTATCAAATACACTGGTTGAATAATGAAAATTCCCATTTTATTGTGATTGAAATTCAGTTTTATTTGTGAGTAAAAGCATCAAATAGGCAATCCTTTCCAATAACCAATGAATGCTCAAGAAGTTAATTTCAAATTTTTCAAATCACTTTCCAAACGTTCAGTTCAGTTATGTGCCATGCATGATACATGCGTAGAGGATCATGTATCTTTCGATACATGGCTGACGAGATTTTTCCTGCAGTAGGTTGCCATTTCTTTCTGTGGTAGACCAGTTGCCATCCAAGGCTATAGAACCCGGTTTGTCCTGCTATTTACTCATAGCTGGGGGGTGAAGAAGAGAATTCATACCTTTCCCAAGCACATAAGTGAATGTAATGGATTTGACTGTAATTTGAACTCAGCTCTCCGATTCCTCAATCCAAGCCACTATCCATTACTCTACCGCTAAACATTACTGCTCTAAAAACAGGAAAACCACAAAGATCTTCACCTCAATAGAAATAGTGAAAGGAAAATGAAAGGACATATCATATTTGTGTAAAGACTACAATGTTGAACTAGGAATTATACGATGCTTTGAAATCTGCCACACAAATGAAGATTTTTGTAAAGAAATGTTTTTATTTTTTTAGTTTCTCTCAAAATCATTTTATTAAGCAAATTTTATTTATCATTCACACTATTTAAAATCATATTTAGATAAGAACCACAAAAAGAAACAAAACTAATAAAAATGCTGTATTGCTTTGTATATTAAGGAAGCAGTAACTGAAATGCTCTTGCACATTTCTTCTGCTGTCACATTGTTTTTTGTTGCTTTTGCTCATTGAAAAAAAAAAAGGGATGGGTCTATTTTTTCTCATATAATATGCATATTAATGGATCATTTGAAAGATTAACAACATCAACTCTGATGTTAATGACTCTTCTCAGAGTTATAGATAATACACTTGACCTACAGTTTTACAATCATTTTTTACCTTTCTTTTTTAAATCATTTCAGCACAATCAAGGTAATAAAACTATTAGGATGCAAGGAGTTACTGAGTATTAGAGAATATGAGAAAAACTACCATTAAAGAGAGAGGACAATAAAAGAACAAGAATTAAGAAGACAGAAGATAACGATTGACATTGCATTTAAATTTTTGAAGATCAAAATTGACTAGAAAGCCAGAAATCAGAAGAGACTTCTACAAGTGAGAAGTGTGATAGAAGAAACTGTTAGCATAGAACTTAGAGTTATACATCTAGCCCAAGGATGGCCAACCTGTGGCGCATGCGCCATAAGTGGCGCATTGGATGCTTACAAGTGGCGCATTGCATCCTTTTGATGAAAAGAAACTAATCCACTTCTACTCATTCATTTCAGTGATTTTATATTTATTGCATGTCCTTTGCAAAAGTGCTAAAAGGATACGCCTCTGGTCATAATCATATATTTTTCAAATAAATAGATTTTATTATAACTTTAAAATATATCCATATTACAACACATACTGAAAGGAAGTGAATGTTTGTGTGGCGCATTTAAATTAATCGTGCAAAATATTGGCGCATGGAAACAAAAGGTTGGCCACCCCTGATCTAGCCATTTCAACTATTAAATGATGTGACCTTGCTGCAAATCTAGTACTGTGCTTAAATTCATAAAGTCTAGGTACCATAGTGCAAAGCTCATCAGAACAATTACCATAAAAGTTAAAAGATAATATAATCTTAGAATTGTACATATCAGCATTGATATAATTTTAATACTGAGGTGAAATAATATCAAAACAAAATATCAGTACTCTTTAATATAAACCTCAACTGAGTGAATCATACTATAAAGTTTATTGAATCATAAACTTTTGAATAAAAGATTATGATTCAATAAACTTTTTAGTCTCAGAGTATAGATTGGTTATTTAGGTTTACTGCAAATTTATTGATAAATTTATTTAATTGTGTGTAGCTTTCAAGAAATAACAATCAGCGTAACTAAAAGGAAATACCATTATCTTAATTAAGAGTTCTTGATACTAAGTATTGAAAGACAAAAGGTCGTTGCATGGTGAGAAATAAATAATCAAATTGATTTCGCCAAGACTGGTAATAATGAGAAATTTGTAAAAAAATATATCAGAAAAAATGATCAATAAAAAGTCAGTATTGTATTTGGGATCATACAAAAATTATTGACTTCCCAAGTTGAAGCATTTTCATTGAACAGTAAAATTAATATTTCATGTTTTTCAATGTCTTGGACAAAATTAATGACTTAATTTCCACTATCAAACCTGTAATAAATTAATTACAATTGATGAATGAAATCAAAGTAATATCAGGTTCCTTTCAATAAGAAATTTTGCTTTTTTGTAGATAATCACTACTAATAATTTGGCAAGTCTCAAGGTTTTTATGATTTGTTTTATAAACATTTATTTTTTCATACCTCTAGAAAATAAAATGCATTAATTCTATAACAACAGATCAATAGGTCTGTATGCAAGTCAGTAATGAGCTGAATTTTGATCTGAAATTTTCACTGTATAATATTTGATCTATATGGTTAGTACTCACTAATGAATTAATTGAATTGATAAAGGAGATTATGCTGAAAAATAAATATCCTGTTGTAACCTAGAAAATGTTACTGAATGATGAATAACCAAAACAGAGCTTGGAAATGAAATGGTAATCTTTATAACATCAATAAAATACTCACAAGTGGCATGAAGTAGGTAAAGCACAACTAGTGGTGGACTACTTAGACAGAATTATCCTCACTTACCAATGTATTTATGAGGATTGGGACATACCCATTAATGTTCATAGGTATAGTATATAACATATCTATTGAATAAAATGTTTTTGCTCATTAGGCTACAAAGTTATTGATTTACCTTCATATGAAAGGTTTAAAAAATAGAGAGCTTGGAAAATTTAAAACTCACAGGAGATATTGAAGGTAAGAGGGACAGAGGAAAGCAGAGAAAAACATACTTAACGAGCTTGTGTAAATGGTTGGCAAGATAGAGATTAGGAGAGATAACAAAAAGACAAACTTTACTAAGGATGACAAAAGACAGGTAATTGTGGAGAGCCATGTTCGCCCATGTCCTGAATGGCTATGTTATGTTGAGAAATACAGTATAATCTAAGTAGTGATCTGTGATTGTTCACTATTTTTCTTGTCTTTTTTTTTTAATAAGTCTTTAGAACATTATAAAATTAATTGAAAATAATTACTGAAGAATTGAGAAGTTTTATTAAAAAGACTAATAAAAACC